CGAGCAACCTAGGGTCGCTGTGGCACCGAGGGTACTTACTTACCCCCACTCCATCCGCCACCGGACTTGCCCCCACCATTGTCAAGTACCAACACACGCCAGCGTCGCGGGCCACCGTCACCACGCGCACAGGCACACGCGCGCGCTCGCGAGGCGATAGTTCCACTAACACCGATACGCTTCTGCTCGCTACCAATACTGCGAGCTGGAATGTACTGCGGCCGGTCGCGCTGCTGCATCCCCACCAGTCGGATTTTCTCATGAGACTCGGCATCCATCAACCTGCTGCTGCCGCCACAGTGTCTCGGTTCGTACACCGATCGCTGTTCGCGTGATGCTTATATTACTGCCGCGATACGATTTCGAAGAACCGCGAGGGTTGCTCGCAGCAGTACCTCGGACTTTATTTCATCTATCTGAGGATACTTGCCCCCGTAATTCTTTCATTTTAGCCTAGTTTCCGCCGGCCTTCTCGCGACCAGACTTTAGTTCGAGAATTCGACACTCGACGGTCGAACCATCGATTTTTGGAGCAAAACCTTCGATTTATGAAGCGGTTATAGTTAGATTCGCATCTGGTTAGTTCGCTGTTTAAAATATAGAGTTTAAAGGTACATATTTTGACTTGTTGATTAAAGAATACGCGAATTCTTTGTTTGTTCTGTGAGATCGGATGCTATCGTTGTTTTCAGGCAGAGTTGAAAGTTGATCTTATCGAACTATATAAGTCAACATTTCGATATGATCAATAATATTAATGTTTGAGCTTCTGCACTTGGGCACAAATCAATTTCTTTACTTAATCGAAGACTGTCACAAGTTTATCAGAGAAATCTATTTTTCTTGAAAGGAATCATACGCGTGCGACACTGAATCATTATACCGTCTTTTAACTTACGTTATTGCAATACAAAAATTTAATATCTTCGTTAATTATTTAAGTATAAGCGGTAGGTATCTACAGAAAGTGAATAAAGCTCAATGATAGATATTGTTTTATTACAATGATTTGAAACACTTTATCACTTAGTATCCATACTTGATCAATGAAACAACAACATAGAAGTACGAATAGAGAATAGTTGAAATTCAAATTTCGACGAGTATCGTGCAAACGTCGAACGATTCGTCATTCGTAACGGAAACAGTGCAACGATCGCGACGTAGTTTCATGAAGGAAAACGCCCGCGGCGCGTTGCTTTCTCAGAGACACGGACACCGACGTATATAGTCGTCGGGACGGTGGCGGTAAGGTCTCGAGGCGCTTTCCCTCCAGAACCGTCACGCTTTTCGCACCTGACGATTCCTATCTCGGGACACGAAAGTTTATGGACCTTCTTACCACGCAGACGCACACACAATTGTATATCTACAGCATACTGCCTCTACCGATGGTATCGTTGTCGGGTTTCGCGTACAACGAAAACATTAATCGAAAGGATACGCGTCAATTCTCCCCTTCATCGCTTGCCTTTATCTCTCTCTCTCTCTCTCTCTCTCTC